ATATTTTCATGATTAAGTATAAAAACACCATTATGTATTGTTATATATATATATATAACAAGTTCTTATCAGGCACTGAATAGAGTTAAATGGGGCTAATGGCACACCTTAAGGGAAATGTGCTTTTCCCTGCTTCCATAGTGATTGATTGCATATTTTTATTGAACAACTCATTCTGTGGAAAAATAAATCATAAAAAGTAGTTTGTTTTGTTTGGTGTAAAAGGCTCACCAGCATGTGGCAAAAGGCCCCCAGTATTTATACAAGTACAATAACTAAAGTAATATGTTTTGCATAATATTAAATTTAATACTTTTTCTCAGTCAATACAATGGCTTTGTTGCGGAAGTTCAAATAGCATGTTTGGAGTGTGTTTAAATGATTCGGTCTTGAATTCGATCTCATAAGGTTACAGTATTTATTGCTGTTGGTCGGCTCTGCTGTGCTCTTGTCGTCTGGAGTAATTTACGCTGGCAGACAGCAGACCACGTTCACCCGTGTGTCAGCCATTTAGACAGCTGAAAGAGGGGCGGCCATCCATTGTGACAGCTGTCAGTCAGGCTTTTACGGATGTGCACTCATACCTAGGGATGTTCATATACACATTAACACATGTAAGCACACACTCACAGATGAATCGACGTCAAAATGAGGTGGAGACACAGAACATGACAGCGATCGGGTGACGAGTGATACACAGCTGTGTGTGTGTGATAGAGAGATAGCAAGGCACTCTGGGAAAGAATGAAAGCTGATTTCTTTGAGCTTTGACATTGCTGGGATTTCTTTCAGCTTCACAATCATCTGATATTTCTGATTTTGTCACTTTGCCTGCTTGTGCCGAGACAGAGAGGATATCGCCCATATATATCCCACAATCGCATTAAGTCATGGGAGTCCTTATATTGCTGGGATTTCTTTCAGCTTCACAATCATCTGATATTTCTGATTTTGTCACTTTGCCTGCTTGTGCCGAGACAGAGAGGATATCGCCCATATATATCCCACAATCGCATTAAGTCATGGGAGTCCTTATGTGTAAGATTATGTGCGTCATACAGTAGGTATCTGCAGCAGTGACATTTAAACCCCTGAGATCAAATAGAAGCATTTCAGCTGTTATTTCTCTCTTTGTCTCATTTCAGCTTCCAGTGGCAAATACCGCTTACGCTGGCAGTGGGAAACTCCAGTCACATATCAACAGAGACCATCATTTGGGTCTCCAATAAAACAGGTACCAATTATGTCAAATGTTTTAATTGTAACCACCAGATAAAAAGTAATAACATATTTTTCTTATACCTTGAATACACATGAGTGTACACATCTTATTTATTTATTTTCAAAATGTTTTAAAATGTATTCTTCAAGGTTAAAAATAATTTTTACAAATGTCATGAATTATTAATTTATCGCACCATGTGAGTCACACAACGTAATTTGTCTGCCATGAACTAAACTTGCCTCGTCATAAAGAGGACAGATTATCTAACACAATATTTTAAGAGACTTAATGACCTTGACAACCAGTCATGATAATCCCCATTATATAATTTCCTGACTTTGACTTATGACTTTGATTTGCCAGACAAAAAGTTGTTATTATTATTATAATAATAATAATAATTATTATTATTATTATTATTAAATAAAATATTAGAGATAAAAATAAAATATTATGCCAAACTACATTCTTTTAATAAAGCTTTTCCTTTATTGTATTGTCAGCATACCCTGACATTTCTGACATATCAAAAATTATCAAAAAGAATTTTAATTACTAAGAAGACATTAAAAGCATGGTATATTCAAGTTATTGTATGTATTAAATTCTATAAAAGTACATTTTTAGATCTGAACAGAAAATTTATTGTCATGTCCTTGACCTATGAAGTCCGCGACTGCTGTCATATCAGCCAGCAACAGATAAAATACAGATTTAATTGGAGCTCCTCATTAAATTGGACTAATTCAGCTCCTGAGAGAAATGCCCTTTTACAACACATTCAAAATACTATTCATCTGTGAGTCACACCTTCCTGCAGCAGCCCCACATCCACCACCATTATATTCAATTCTGTTCCATTCCTTTCCTCTCCATTGGGAGAGCGAGGTGGATTTTCTTCGAATGGAAGAAATGGAGCCACAGCGAGTCAAATTCCAAGAGCCGGAATTGAATTAGGTCTGTGAGTGATCCGTGGGGCTCAGAGCTCAGAGTTCCTCTGATTGTGAGACCATTTAACAGCCTCCATTTTCTGCTCACCTTCTCTGAGAAACAGCCCTCATCAGAGCTACAATGCAGATCCACAGCGGCACGTTCAAGATTGAGTCTTGAAAGTCATTAGTCTTCAGCGACTCTTGAAAGAAACAGAGACTATAACATAGAGACCCTATTTATATGCATTAACTCTTGACCCTATTTATAGTCTTGAAAGTCATTAGTCTTCAGCGACTCTGGATCACGATTCACTTCAAATGCACTGAGTCCATGAGCGCTCGAGAGCACTTAACCAGTGCATTTGTTATCCATAAAAAAGCACAAGATCTGGCTGGAATATTACAAGATGAGACCGTGGCAAACACATTAGATTACAGATGTTGTGCATTACAAAATGCTGAATGCATCGTCTCTTCCTGTACATTTTCATGCTTTTATGAGTTCATTCCAAAGATGATAAATGCGCTGAAAATTGCAGAATATATCAGTGCATATGAACTATTGTGAGCAGTATGTTTAATTTTCTGTTATATTTCATTAGAAATGCAGTCAGTTTACTTTAATTCACTTTTTTTTATCTTCAACCTGGCGAGGTGGGTTCTGTCATCAGTCATCAAACAAATCCAAAAAGCCTGGGATTTCAAAAGGTTACATCACAATTAACAAATCTGTATGAAAATCAAAGTGTTGCAAAACTGTGGTTTTGCATTCATAACACTCTCCAAGCTGATTAAAATAGCATCACCAGACAATGTTCAGATATTTGATCTGCTAATTCCAGATGAAGCAAATTGAATGTGATCATGTCATATTCACCAGCTGTAGGAATGCATCAGCAGTATGCAAAATATGATATATTCATCTTTGCATGATGCATTAAGTTTTGTGTAATCATACCAGCAGTTAAACCTAAATACTCAGTCAGAAACGTTTAGCCATTTGACACCAATAACACCTCTACTTCCTTTCCGTTGACTGTCAACCTCCAGTCAACTTCAGCAGGAGTGGTTTCTTCATTAGGGCGACGCACCACCAACGTGCGCAAGGGAGGGATTTTTTTTTTTCAAGCACATTTAACCACCGCTGTCACTGTTCTATAACTTTTGTTCTGCCTCTGGATATGTGGTCCAATCATCGTCCAGTCAGATTCTGTGGAGTACCGGCCCTTTTTGGGCGAATGCACTCTGGCCAAGAATCGCCCAGATTGTTCTCATAGACTTCCATACAAATTTTTTATTTATTTATTTACTTTTTCAAACTGCAGGCACTGCAGCGCAATCTCTGCGAGTTCCGGGAGGGCTAGCACTAACATGCTTTCGTCATCAGATGTAACCTTAACTTGTGCAGCGATTGGTGGGAACAAACATACCTCTATTAATAAGAAATATGAAGTCAGGACTAGTCTGTATGGGCTGAATAAAGCAAACCAGTATCTCACCAGTAAAGTTTAGGTGGATGACGATTGTAAAGGAGGTAAAGATGATTACAGTGACATACAGCAATCGGCCAGACTCAAAAAAGTCTCTCACGAGTCAGAATTCGGCTCAAAATCGGATGAAAATCACAGTGTATGCCCGGCGTTATTATTAATAATAGGGCTTGCCTGTTTTCATGTCTCCTTCAGACAACCAAGTTGGTGATGTCTTCGGCAGGTGCCCTCTTATCCACCTTTTTCTTCCCGTAAAAATGGGCACGGCCATTTGTAAATTCTATGGGTCTGGCTTCCGGTCTCATCCGCGTCCAGCTATTTTTAGCTGTACAGAGCAAAGTCAGAATTGACCCTTTTTTTTTTTTTTTAAATAGCCTTTGCACATCCAGCTTTGTAGGATACTCTCCTAGGTTCACAAAACTGTCGTCCATAAAATGCGTTGCA